GCTCCTGCACTTCCTGAGAACCTCAGGTATATCATCAGCCTCTCCTTTCCTTACTGCCTTGTCTCTGTGGACTTAGACCTTCACTGGGTGGAGACTGCATTCCTTATGTGGGTAGAGAGTGTGGGGCTTGAGAGGCTGCAATCAGTCTGATGTAAACATACCTGATCTAGGCATGGGAATGAAGATTTGCAATGTATCGCACTTCCTTGGCATGACTTGGCTTTGCGCACTCTGTTCTTACCCTGAACAGCTAGTTTTCTCCTTGGTACTTCTCCTTTCTGAGACACCCTCCTCCCCCCACCCTTTTCCCATTTTTAAGACAAGGTCTTGTGGTGCTAGCCAGTCTGGCCTTGCCCTCACAGCCCTCCAGCTTCTGCCTCTTGAGTAGAGTCACAGGCATGTGCCACCACACCTAGTGGTTTTGCCTGGCCGCTGTAGGGCAGAGAAGAATAAAGGGAACTCAGATTTTGAGAGTATAAGTAGAGAGACCTTTGGGTTAGCTTACTGGAGAAATATATGCTCACGGGAAGCTAAAAGTTAATCCTGGAAAGATAGGTTGTAAACTAGTTGAGGAAAAAGCCCGGAAGAAAACAAGAAAGGTAGAAAGAGAACGAAAAGCAGTTGTCCTTTGGCCACTCCACGTGGGCCTGAATCAGTGCTTTGGCTTTGGAAGGAACCTGGAGGCAGTAACTAAGGCCTTTGCTTTTAAATTCATCACAGTGTAATTGAGAAACAGAGTCTCTTGTGCAGGGTCTTAGTCTGGTAGATAAAAGAATTTCAAAACTAACTCAGAAGTTTGAGAAAAAAAACAGGGCAAACTAGCTGGAGGTGCTGGCAGCTGCTGGGAGGAGGGAGATGGGGACTAGGAGGAAAGTCATGCTTTCTCAGTTAGAGGTCAGGCAAGTAAGCAGGCTCAGCAGGGGAATTCTGAGCAGCTGCTTAGGAGGTGGGGATAGAGGGGGTTCAGAGAGTTAGAAATCTCTGCCCAGAGTAATCAGGGCAGAGGCTTAGTATTCTGGCAGGTATTGGAAATGGGAAAGAGGAAGAAAAAGTTTTGTGAGTTACAAAGAGTAGTCTTAGCTCAGAGGGCCAGGGAGCAATGTAAGGAGGGAATTGCATCTGAGGTACCTATGCCATTAAAGGGGGAGTTATTCCCTTCGTGGTCTTAACGTCTTCAGGAATATCATGTTTCCCTTTGTAGTCTCTTTTCAGGCTGTTCTCTGAAGTTGTGTAACAGGATTTTCTCCATGCGGGGAGGTTCTGGCCTTGCCTAGGCAAGGGAAATTCCTGTTGCTTTATCAAAAGGTGTTATTGGCTAGCTACTAAGTCATTTAAGAAAGTGAGAGGTTTCTTAGGATTAACTACCAGTACTTCAAATTCTAAAGAGGGGCAATTGTGATACACCCCCCTTCCTCGAAATTAGTGTTAGCAGGAACACAGGAAGTAGGGCCCTAAACTGAGCTACATCCATCCTCACTTTTGTTATGAGAAAGCACATAGGGGGACCTTGTCTTGGGGAGAGATGGGGGGGGGGTGCGCGTGCTTGGTGGATTCCAAGGCTGGTGAGGTTGACCAAGGCGGATGGACAAACATGGCAAGCAGACAAGAGCTTAAGTGAGAAGCTTTATTAGAAAGGAAAGAGAAAAGAGGTAAAGAGACACAGAGAAAGGACAGAAGAGAAGAGGGAGACAGGAAAAGTCCTGTCTGCCCCAGGGGAACAGTGGGAAAGCCAGAGGAACAAGAAAGAGAATGGGAGAGCATAAGTGGGCTAGGATCTGTCTTTTAAAGGGCCCTTTGCACCTGCATGGTGCAATCATGGAACCCTGGGCTGACCAAGGTTCTGCCTGAGTGCCTTCTGCCAGGTGATAGGGGCCAGCCAGCATAATGCCTGAATCCTTACAACTTTAGCCTTCAGTCAGCTAATGTTTCACTAGCTGCCCAACAACAGTACTTCACATGGTTATTTACCATGAGTTAATTATTATCTGTTGAATTGTGTACAGCAATGCTCTGTTGAAGCATTAACACCTGAGGACAAAAGATGTTAGAACAGAAGTTGCCGAAGACCAAGGCATTCAAGAAATAGATTGTTGAGGCTGTGGAGTGGGGATGCCAAAGTTTTAGTAAGTTAAGAGTTCATGAGGGTTATGCTGACAGTTCCTTGGGAGCAGATCAGAGAGAGGCATGCTGTGTGTCTCTAGCAGGCTGGGTGGGGAGTGCTGTAGAGAGGAAATGAAATGTGCTGTGGTGAGATAATAGGGATATCGCCGTACAGATATTATTTCCAGAGTAGTTTTCATGAGCACATATCTTTTCCTGTTTTTAACTTTTTCGAAGGGGCTATTTGGCTCCCGCTCCCCCCCTTTTCTGTTTTTGCTGTTGTGTATTTTTCATCTGTTTGTTTGTTTTAGCACATTCCTTGTTGGTGAAGGTGGGCTGACTTGAACCTGTAAAGGGATCTCTTTTCTTAATTCCTAAGTGTCCCATGGAAGTTCAAGAGCCAGCTGAGTAAGGGAGCTCTTAATGTGCATCAGAGCCTTTGGAATTGTTAAGCCGCACTACAGCTTAGAAGCCTGTCTGTAAGAGAGAGACAGTTCCCGGTTCTGTGATGGACACATCCACTAGTCACTGTCACTCTCTTTCCACCACTCCCTGAATCCCTGGCTCCACAAGGGCCTGTGTGCAGCACTCTGCCCCCTCCCCTTTTCTGTCTTCAGTGCTTGATCTATGCTGTTTGCAGGTGGCATGGCCCTCCTCTGAGACAGACATCAATTGCAAAGATCAGAGCGGCTGGCTTTTGAAGAGTTTTTTCACGTTCTGCTTTGTAAGCCCGCTGAGATGTGGTATTCCTTTCATGCTTCCTCTCCATCTGTCTCTCCAAAGGGCAAAGGGAGGGTCTTCACACGACTGGGAGTATTGATGTTGGCTGCAAATTCATTTCAATTAATGTCTACATTTTTGTCTTGGGCATCTAGCACCATTGTATCCCTTGCTTTTGACCTTGTTCTAGCGAGGCTTTCTGCGAGCAACAAGAGGAAAACTTTCTGTATCATTGGAAGAAATAATAAGAGAAAATCCCTCATTCATTGTTTAGGGAGAGGGAGGTCTAGTAGATGCTATGGAGTCTTCTTTTGGTGGTATTGGGTCCTAAGCAATAGTGCAGGTATTACAAATCATATTATCTGGGAAATCTCTTAGTGACCCTTCCTCAAGCAATGGTAATATATTTAGTGACACCCTGCTGTATACTAGGCTCTGTAAGTCTTCAAACACATCATTTTCTTTGGCCTAAAGAGTCCCAAGTCTTATCTCTTTGCCTGTCACCTACCACCAGCCACACCTACTTTGGGACTTCCTTTCCTGACTTCTTTTCGTGTTATAGTACAGAGTTGAATAGTTGCTTCAGACCAGATGGCCTTAAAAGCATAAAGTATTTAACGTTTGGGGCTTTAAAAGCCAATTGACTCCCTGTAGTGCACATGAACTACAAATAAGACAGTTTATCTGACTTGACATTGTGAGTACAATGCCGTATCTATCACCTATCTGTCACCCCTCCCTCCCTCCAGCCCCTCACCTTTTTCCTTTTTATTTTGTTTTGCCTTCTAAAAATTTGTGTGTTTTTGCAAAGTGGTAACTGTTATGTATGAGTCTAAATGCCAGTTAGTAATAGTTTGACTTATTTATTTCTGGATCCTATCAGGAGTCTTATAGTGGACTATTTGAGATTCTAAATGGTTTATTGAAGCATCCCTTTTTTTTTTTTTTTTTTTTTTTCGGCCCACATTTCTTGAGAAGTCAGATTGTGTAATTATGTGATGTGTAAGCAAGTTCTCATGCTCTTGCTGTGAGAGCAGAGATATCCTTGCTTCTTTGCCTGCTGCTATGCTAATGCCCAGGAGAATGTAGCCAAGATGGATGGAGAAGATGCTAATATCAGCCTGTGCATCTTGGGTTTATTAGAGGTCTGCTAGAAGGAAGTCAGTTGCAAGGCAGCAGATTTCAAATGTCAGGATAATTAAGAAACACTTTGGCGTGCTTGTTTAGAAAAATGTAGATTCCCCAGACTAAGCCTTGGGGATGCCGAAGCGGTTAAGTGTTCTATAGATGCCCATGATGCTTATGAGAAAAAGCTAGCTGTGGGGTAATGTCTTGGCTCAAGGCAGTGATTTTAAGTAGTCCAAATAAGGTCATTATCCATGATGAGTTTTTAAATCCTGGTTTAGTTTATATTGAATGTGATGTTGCCATAAACTTTAAAGGCGTAAGTGCATGCAACAGGAAGTAAAATTATACCCCCATGCTGTAAATGCTTCTTAACTACTTTTTCCATCACTAATAATGACAACAACATTTCATGTTTATGCTTTGTAGTTACAGAGCTCCCGGTCTCATGCATCTCATTTGATTTTCATGCCCGCTCTGGAGGTAGATGTAACAAGTGGTTATTTTTCATTTATAACGAGAAAACTAAAACTTATAAAACAAGTGATTCCCCCCACCCCCAAAATTGCTCAGTTGTTAAACCAACCGGGCTTCTAGAATTTCCATACAGCATTTCAGGGTACCACAGTGTTGTTTTAGAGAAAGATTATGCCATCTCCTTTTACTGCCCTCGAATGGGCATGATGAACTGTCCACAGTTGGAAAAAAAAAAAAAAAACTTGATGGTCTCTGGGTGACAGCATGTTAAAGAATTCTTTTATCGCTTATTAAAGTGTAAAATCCATGCAAATATTAAAGAATAAATGGGGAGCCTAAACAGAGTTGCAAGCTACCAGCCTCCACTTGCTCCTCTCTCCAAAAAGGGGCGGGCTGCCTCTTCTTAGATCAAGTCCATCCCCAATGAGAACTCCATCTCTTGGACCAAATAGCTCCTCTCAACTCACTAGCAGACCAGTGCCAGAATTCCCATGACAACTACAGGTGCATGTTGTGTCAGTTGTTGGTTTTAAAGAGCGTCCACAGTATGGAAGAAGAAACCTCCTTTCTTCTGACAGAGACTTTACAAGACGGGTCGGGAGATGCAGGAGAGGATCATGGACCTGCTGGTGGTAGTAGAAAATGAAGACGTAACTGTTGAGCTAATTCAAGTGAATGAAGATCTGAATAATGCCATCCTTGGATATGAGAGGTGAGCAGGTGGTGTTTCCTTTTACTCTCTTCTTGATCTAGTTTCACCACCATACAGCCCTCATTCCTTCTGGAGAACCCACAAGAGCATAGTCTTTCTAGGTCTTTTTCTCTCAGAGTGGCGTGGTGAATAGAATAGTGTTTTCTTGTGTGGCCACTACTCCTCCTCCAGTGCCAGAGATGCTCCCTCCAAACTGAGGTGACTCAACAGACATCCTTGGGGAGGTACTGTTCCTGTTGAGAATTACTAGGGCTATTTCATTGTATAGTGGCTGCATTTCTAACCAGCACATGAAGAATGAGGTGAGTGGCATAAGAAAGAGGTGAGCGGGCATAAATTCAAATCTAGATGATGTGAGATAATACAGATAAATTGTCTGACATTCTGAAACCTTCCCAAAAAAAGAAAGAAAGAAAGAAAAGAAAATTCTGTCTTTGGAGTAAATGAGATAATGCATATTAAATACTAACGCAGTAGCATATTGACACCCACTCCATTTTTGTGTGTGACGCTGGGATTGAACTCAGGACTGTGTCCCCGGTAGGCAAGTGCTCTATCACTGGATTATACTCTTGATATTTCCCACACTGAGTCACCATGTTTTCCCCCTCCTCATTAATGTTCCATTTAGACTTTAAAAACCACAAAGAAACTGTTTCTGTCCCCCCTCACCAACACTGAGGCAAGAGAATCAGGAAGACAAAGCCAGCAGCTGTACTGCGGTGGCTTCTTTCTCCTTCACGGTCTCATGTTCACTGCCTCTTAGGGATGACAACTTTTTGTAAGAAAACATGGTGGTGAGCCCCGTCAGCATGCTCTTAGCACTGGACAAACTCACAGTTCTTGCCCTTTTTTGTGGCGCAAACCTCTGTAGGCAGAAAAATTTTCAAGGGTAACCCCGTGTTTTTCAGTCTTACTGCTGCTGTCTGGTTTTCATTTGGTACAATTCTGCTGCCAGCCTGCCAACCATAAGACATTAGTTAAAGCCCCCCGCCAAGGAGGAGCCTTAGTTTATTTACTCTACATCAGGCAATTGGATTGCTTGTGTTGACTCAGCTCTGGTCAGCAGGTACGATGTGACCTTGGTCCTTCAATCCTGAGAGAGAGAAAGGGGCTTCTAGAAAAGATGCCCACCAGTTTTGTTTTTCTGCCATGAACTCCATGGTTTGGGGCAGCAGAGATTTAATTATGGTTAGGTTATATACTAAGTTTTTCAGATTGTGAGATTCAAGTGTCTGTCTTTGGGCTGGACTCCAGATGGCTGCCTTTCACTTTGGAGGACTGTCCACGGGAGACTGTCTCCTTACCTTTGCAGTCAGTAGCGGCTGCCCGCTTTCCTTGGCCCGTGGCCTCTTCCTCCCATCTTCAGTGCCAATGTCTGCTTCAGAATGGCCCCCCGTTTTAACACTCCTCCTGCTTTTTCTGAGCCTTTCAAGTGCTGTTTTTATGACTACAGTGAGCGTGTCTCTAATATCTGAGAAAATCTCCTAGCCAAGGTAAACTTGCTAGCTGAAGTCATTCCTTCTGCAATGTCAGTTCCTCGGTTTCCATCTAGCCTACAATAGTGACTATTGTCACTAAGTGAAGTAGGGCATGGGTATCATTAGAGAACACTATTCTCATTCTAATGGCCCGGCCTTTAAGTCCCCAAAGGTTTACCTCCGTCTTACCTGCAAAATATTTCCATCACCCCATTTGGCAAAGCATACATTTTAGAAGAATCTAGAACAGTGGTTCTCAACATAAGTAATGCTGCCACCCTTTAATACACTTCCTCCTGTTGTATTGACTCTCAACCATAAAATTATTTTTGTTGCTACTTCATAACTGTAATTTTTCTGCTGTTATGAATCATAAGGTATTTTTGGAGATAGAAGTTTGCCAAAGGGATCACAATCTATAGATTGAGAATGGCTGATCTAGAACCTAAGCGTGTTACAGATACAGAATAAGCTTTTAAAATATTTAGGCTTTTGGAGTCAATGTGATAATGGTGCTACCATCAGTTTCCAAAGCCAATTTAAATTTGCAAGCCAACTCCACATTCACTGCCTGTATCATCCACCTCTCTGTAGCTATGTGATTTTGCTTCTCTGAAGAAATGGCTCAAATGTGATTCCCATTTAGCAGATGGGACATTGAGGTTCAGACAGTCGGATTCACAGGCATGTGGGGAGTAGGGGGTACTTCATTGGTTTCCACTCTGCCACTGTCTAACTGCTTCCCTTTTACCTCAGTGGATAAGCAATGGGAAAGGAAGCCCAAACTGTAAAAGATCAGTCTTTCTTTCATATCAAGTATTTAAAGATGCTACACTGAACACTGGACTACTTTTCATGCACTTGAATATTTTTATTAGGTTTATTCTTTGAGTATTTTACACATGCATATAATTCACCCTGGATACTCTTTCCCTCAGCCCTGTCTTTTTCTCCACTTGCTCTAATTCTCTTCCATATACGCGCGCACACACACACACACACACACACACACACACACACACACAAACACACTCACACCAGTACCTTTCCAAGCTCATAATTTTGTGTTTGTTTGTTTAGTTGAGCAACCCATTTAGTTTAATTAGGACCATCTGTGCAACTGTTGGATTAATTTTATGAAAATTATTTATAATGGTGAAGAAACAACCTTATATTTGAAAATAAGGATTGGCAAGGGTGTTATTGATTTTTATGGTAAGAACATTATAGGCATTAACAATTATAGTTCTAAGTGATTAGAAAAATACAATACAGTTGAATTAGGATACAGAATTGCATAAATATAATTTTCACTAAGTTTAAAAGTAGCTAGACACAGTGGCACATGCCTATAACTCTAGCACACCAGGCTCAGGCAGGAAGATCATAGGTCTAGCCTGTGCTACATAGCAAAACACTTTCTCAAGGTAAGTAAATGACTGCAGAAGTAAAGTCACTTAGAGAATACACATACTGCATGTATTGTTAATAGTGCTAATTTCTAGAACATGGGAATCATTGCATTTTTTAAACTTTTTTATTTCCTCACAGTTTTTTTTTTTTTTTTTTCTAAGAAGGTTAGAACTCTATGAACTAGAAGAAAGAGTTTTGGTGACTGTGTTGTGGTATTGGGGACTGAGTGCAGATCTTGGAACTCTGTTACTAAGCCATATCCCTACCCTTAGAAGAGAGTTAGTTGCTAAAGCTATTGTGCCTGCGGTTGAGAAGGGTGAGGCTTGGTATCACTGTAGCAACTATCTATGCATTTAGTAATGCAAGGCTTTCTTTGATAAATAATGTTGCACTTTGCTAATTTAAACAGGTTCACCCGAAACCAACAAAGGCTTTTGGAACAGAATAGGAACCTGAAGGACACCACCGATGTAAGTGACTAGAAATGGCATAGAGTAAACAATTAAGTGTCGTATTAATTAGCCTTCAGGAAGCAAATATGCCCTAGAAACAGGTCTTTAGAAGCGGAAACACACAGTGTGGTTTCCAACTTAAGTTGCCAGAGGGGTCTTTGAGTAAGGAAGGACTCATGTGCTTAGTGAGATGGCCTAAAGTCATGGCCTAATGTTTTTCTCAGAAAATATCCAAAGGAATGTGTGTAGAGAGAGCCGGGATAACTTGCATGATTTATCCCCTAAATTGTCTCTGCTTTGTTTTCAGACTTCCAACGAGCCCTCTGCTCCTTCCTGCGATCTTCTCGACCTTAGTCCCATTGTGCCAACACCTATGTCCAATGGGGAAGCGCTCAACACCATGAATGCTCAGCTTTCAGCCTTAAGTAAATAAGCAACTGGGCCTTCTTTCACCAGTGTCAGTCCTTGGTTTCCTAGTTGAATGCCTCTGGAGAAAGACAGAAGTCAGTCTGACTATCAGAGATATAATCACTGCCCCGCAAAATGCTTGGGTTAGATCCAGCAAACAAATGGGGCGTGTAGGGGAGGGTTTTGGAACTCATCCCAGTACCTTAGAATCCCATGGAATTTACCTGACTTGCAGAGTTTTTGCTCCATGATAGCCAATGTTTAAATCTCTTCCAAATATAGACTTTTATTGTTAGATTTCTCTGATGCAGACAAAGGAATTCAGGAATTATGAGGCAAGACCGGGTGGGAGTGAGATGTGAAAGCAGTTAGAAATGCAAATTGGGAGGTCTAGTTCTGCCCCCAACCTTAGAGGAGACACCCTTACTTTCTGAAGTGAAGCAGTGGTTTCCTGAAAAAATTGTGAAAATGTATGAAATGATGTTGGCAAAATGCACTGTAGCCTTGTCATCACCCACCTTACCTAACTTTTAGTATCTCTTATCCTTATTTCCAACAAGTTTTGTTATGCTACAAAATAAGCAAGAAGGCAAGATGAAAACAAAATCTACAATTCTAGTGCAGCCAAACCATAGTTTCTTTTTCTCTTACATTTTGGTGTTTCCACAGCAAAAGTATTCAGTATTGAATTTGTGGCTTTCTTACAGCTTTCTTCATGTCTGAAATGGTGGCAGTTTGCTTATGTAAGCTACTGAGATTTGTGGAACCACTTGAACTGGAGAGTTTTCATGGGTTCTTATTACGAATTTTGGGCAAAGGAAGATAATTATTCCCTTCCAGTGTTTTAATAGTATGGGAGTTTAAGAGCTTAGAGGGGAAGGCTGAGCTCTGTAGAAATTCTAACTGTTCACTTTTGTACTAGGCAGAAGACATGTGCAGTTCTTTCCATTTTGGGTCAGCTTGAGATTTTGGAAAATCCAATATATAATATTTTCCATTTATGACAGCCTCTTTCTGTGGCAGGATTATATTGTCTCTTTTTCTATCCCCCTATAAGTGATACCTTTGCATCGCTCTTAGAGGAAACCCTATGATTTTATGGCCATAGAAGTATCTAAATTAATCTCTTTCTTTAAATGTGGAAAACTGAGGGTAATGATGGTAAGCATGCACATAGTAAAATTTGCCTTAAAAAGATTAAACAAATGAATTTTGTATTTTAGGTGTCAGCTCTCCAGGTCCTGTTGTAACAAATAGCTTGTATCCCAGTCTTCATCCACAGGTGGATTTGCTAGCATCGGAAAATACAGAATCACCCACCCTGTAAGTATTCTCACTGACACCAGGGTACTAATGCCATAGCATGTAACACACAATAAAAAACCAGAGACAGATATTGGGGTTCAAGCTGAAGATCAGAAAAGTAAAGCAGCCAAGCCATCTAAGAGCTCTTACCTCTACCAAGGTTGGGGCAATCCTGTCCTCAACATGACTGGAGACTAATTGTCTCAGACTGAAAGGATGATCCCATCTCTACAAATCCTCAGCATGGCTAGGGACTAATTTCTCTGAGACCATGCTCCTGACTTATGTGCCTCTAGTGCTGGGATTAAAGGTGGTGGATCCCAAGTGCTAAGATCTCCTTTTTCTGAGCTCTTTTTATGTTTTAGACTGATCACTCTTGTGTGGCCCAGGGTGGCCTTGAACTCACAGAGATCCATCTGTCTCTGTTTCTGAGTCCTGGGATTAAAGGTGTGCTCCACCACTGCCTGACCTCTATGGCTGTGGCTAGCTTTGCATTCTGATCTTCAGGCAAGCTTTATTAGATCATAAACAATGTGTCACCACAATGGCATTCTGCTTCCTTATATAAGAAAACATGGTGTTGTGTGACACTGTTTATAGGGAGGGGTGAACAAGCATCTACTCACCCCAGATAGAGAACCTACAATAGACCAAAGTACAGGTATTACCCAAGACCAACCTAGTGAACCAAGTGTGTTTCTTACAGGAATATGGGTGAGGGGTTACTTACAGGAGCAGCATGGGTGACAGACAATTCATGAAAGCTGGGAATCTGACTATCACTGTATAACCTGTAGCCATCTCAATAGGGTAATATCTGTCTTTCAGGCATTTAGTTGTTCTGGTCCTCTTTGGCAGCTTGGCATCTCTCTGTTTCTTCCAAGAGACTTATCTGGTCTTACCCTCTTCTAGGTAGCTCTGCTACTCTAAGACTCTTTTAGGCAGCTCCTCTTGACTGAGAGTGTCTGTCAGCAGCCCTTATAGCTTATATGCTGGGAAGGTGGGGGGGGGGGGTGGGGAAGCCTAGTGAATCTGCTCAGTTTCAGCGACTTCCTGAAGCTATTGAGTTGGTTACTTCCTGAGCATGAGGAGATTGGCTACAGGATGGAATGTTTCACTGCCCCTTAGAATATCCTGTTGTTTCACTTCCCTTAAGCATCCTGTGTTTTAAGGAACTTCCCTCCAAGATGGAAGGCTTAAATCTTAGAGGAAACTGCTACACAACAGATGGTATAGAAAAATGGAGACTTCACAGTCAGACAGACCTGTGTCAAAGTCTTAGCCTTGCTTCTATTTTGCAGTTTAGCATAACATGAAATGATAGCCACTGCACATTCATTTTCCTCTAAGAATACTTCTTAGGAGTCACGCAAAGATCATGAAATGTAAATAAAATTCCTAATGTAGCACTTATTACATTCCATAATAAAACTTCAATATATCTGTTTCTCTGAATTTGTTCATGGGGTAGTCAGTTATGGGAAATACAGTGACAGAGGAAGGTGATTATTTTCAAGATTGGTGAGAGCAATGGCCACACAAATTTCATGAAATTGCCTACATATAACAACGCCCTTTAACTTTGTTGATTTTATGTAATTATTTGCCAAAGAGTTTTTAGTTCTTGTCATAATCACTATTCCTTTTGCATGGTAAAGGGGACAGGCAGTTGGGAATGGAATTTGCCAAAATCGACACAGTAATTAGTAAAATCACCAAAAAAAAAAAAAAAAAAAAAAAAAAAAAAATACCAATGGCTCATGAACATTTGTATTGATCTTCAGATTTCTTAGAAGACTCTCAGTAAAGCACAAAGATTGATTGGGTGATTGATTTTATTTTTCTCTTTTACAGTATTTCACAGTAGTGTAGGCTGACCCAGAACTCACTGGGTGGCTCAGGCTTGCTGCAAATTCACAGTAATCTTCCTACCTCAGTCTCCTGAGTGCAGGGACTATGGTCATGAACCATCATGTTTGGCTTAAATATTTTGTTTTTACCTCTCAGATTGGCCAAAGTTGAAATGTTTGATAAGAATTAATTGGCTGTAGAAAGAGATACAATCACAAAATTATGTAACTTTATAGGGGACAGGTGACAATATCTAATAAACACCGCATTTACTTTGGAGATGTGAAACAGGAAGTTATGCTGCACTCATATAGTTACGTATTTATAGGATTTTCTTTACAATATGGGGGCAATGGCAGCTAATAAATGCAAGAATCCATTAGTTGGGGACTGGTTAAATAAATAGCTATGTAATATACTGTACAGCTTGGGGAAAAGGAGACCCTGTACATGAGAAGCTATTTTTTACGCTAAGTAGTGTGAATATACTATATTGTTTTTATGTAAGAAAGTGGTGAAAGGATAATATGTGTTAATATTTGTATCATTTTGCATAAATTACAAAAAAGGTGGTAGCTTAAGTTTAGGGATAGGCAGTATAGATAAGACTAAAAGAATAAATAGGTTGGGTTTGTTTTATGACAAGGCTAATGTTTATTTTTCCATACACAGGAGCATGCATGTGAGCACACACATGCGCACATGCACACACACACACACACACACACACACACACACACACACACGTACCATATATTTTAAAAAATAGGTAACACATTTCCATGAGACTGATACCAAAATCACATTAAATATATATAAACACAATTTCATCTTCACTCCATTCTCTTTCCGTCCTCTTGTGTTATACTGCATCCATTAATTGTTTGGGTTCTTATCTTTCCAAGGTATCTTTAGGTAATAGAGAATATCGATTTATTTATCTTTTATTAAATAATTAATTGCTTTTCTACATTTAAAAGAGAGAAGCCTGTAGGTACAAGAATGGAAAAGAATTAAACAGGGAATTTCTTCTAAAAGGCAAGGAGTAAAAATAAGGAGAGATGGAAAAGGTTCATATGCTAGGAAATGAAGAATCAATCCCTGCCTCGTGGTTTATCAAACTGAGACTCTACCATAATCTGGCTAGCTCTGGCTTGGTCCTACAGTACAAGCACATACGAAAATGTTGTAGGCCAGTTTCTAGTTGAACTCCCTGCTAAGTAACTGTTTTCCTGTATCCTGCTAACCTTGTTGGGTAATATGAGAATGAATGAGTAATGCAGAAAATTTTGCCTTGCAGCGAATGTCTCCATGAAACTTACTAAAGAAACCTATCTCAGCTATCAGTGTTTAGTTTAATGTATACGATTTCAGATCATACTCTATTATGCAGAAATCACTAAGATGACTGCTAATGTCACAATGAAGTTGAGCACAGATCACATATCACATAGGTTCTGTCTCAGATCTCAGTTTTTACAAGAATTACCAGTCACTTAAAAAAAAAAAAGAAAAAAAAAAAAGGTGATGTCAAACAGTTGTTTCTCTGTAAATAATGTGGTCTGTCCTAAGTTTTTGTTTTGTTTCCTCTTCCTTAATTTTGAGTAGTTTGTGATGTGTGGGTGTGGTTCCTTTTGACGTGTTTGTATACAATTGGCTGAGTACATTAGTTTCCTATGACTGCCATTACAAATTCCCACAAACTAGATGGTTCAAAACCACAGATATACTTATTATCTCATAGCTATGCAAGCAAGAAGTCTGGAATTGAGTCTTCAGCAATTTTCAGTAACAATTTGTCTTCTGCCTTTTCCTTGGTGACTTGGTATTCCTTGGTTTCACTGGCTTATTGGCTACTTTAATTTCTGCCTCTGCCTTCTAGCCTCTCTTATGTGCAACTACAATCTCACCAAGCTTTCTAAGATCACTGTCCCCTGGACTGGAAGCCCAATCAGATCACCCAGGTGACAACAACTGCATCTGATGACCCTTTAACTCCATGGAGATCTCTTTTCTGAATAAGACAACACAGGTTCTAGGCATTATAACATTTAATTCACTACACAGGCATTCTACAGTCTGAGTTTATGTCTTTCACCAAATACTTTTCAGCCTTTATTTATTCAGTGCTACATGCATTCTGCTTTCCTGCTGGGACTGTGGTAACACTTGTTGGGTGGTATTAACACCTGAGTGTTTTAGGACAACCTGTTTAGTCTGTTCAAACTGGATCATGTCTGTGACTGATGTTCAAGGTCACTAAATTGAACTAACTGTTCTGTCATCTCCACTTCACAATTAAACTGATTCAAAGTTTGTTTCTAATTTGTTGGGTTTTTTTTTTTTCAGTTTTAAAATTTCTGCTTTATTTATGTTTTCTATTTGTTAACTGACACTTTCTATTTTTCCATTTTTTAAGAGCATTCCTGAATGCTTGCTTCTTGGAGTATTTGCACTGCAATGGCTGCCTTAAAATCTCTTTGGGATAACTCCAGCATACATGTTCTCTTGGTATTCCTGTCTGTTGGCTGCCTTTTTACACAATATGTTTTGATGTTTTTCTTTTTCTTTTTTCTTTTCTGGCTCTTTTAATGCCTAGCCATTTTTGAATTATATCTTTGGCATATTTAATTTTTTATTAGTGGATGCTTGGTTTTAGTAAAGTCTAATGTTGATTAGATTCACTTCATAATTTCAGCCTGCCTCTGTAATACCGGGTTCGAAAATCAGCTCAATTTTCAAAGCACTTGTTGTTCAAATAGGTCCCACCTATGTACCACCCCGTGGCCAATCAGAAGTCTAGCAACAGATTGTGTGTCTGGCTCTCATTCTTTTGGCACCATTATGGGAATCAGAATCATGACCATTGAAAACAAGTCACTCTCCTGATTTCATAACAACCTTACAAGACTATTTCCCTCAATTCTCTCACCTTTGTCCTTTTGCTGGTCCTTTCTGGTGTTCTGGAGCTCCCCTTCTGTTAACTGGTCATCTCATTATCTAATTACCCAACCATCATCCTTCTGCTGTACTCTCTGCCATTCCCATGCTTTTGATGGTGCACCTTAGCTAATCGGAGAGGAACTTTATACCCATCTCTGAAGCCACTGCAGCCACCATGGTGTGGGCTATGTTTGGGATGTAAAGGGGGATCAGAGAAAGCTGGGGTATTTCTTGCTCTCCCTGCATGCAAGTGCTTTTCTCGGAGTTGTGTTATCATTCATGCCTGTATCTGGGGTTCAGGCTGCATTCAAATCAAGAGAAAAAAAAATGGTAAGTTCAATAACAATAATTCAGCAGCACTTAAATTTTGGTCGTTTACCAATCAGCCTGCTACTACTGTCTTCACAGTCCTGACTAGCTTCACTGGTTTGTGTTTTCCAGCTTTAGTTTTCCAGTGGCATTAGTAATAGGATAAAATGTTTCCCACTCCACTTTAACCAGAATGGGATCTCTCCTCTCTTTCCTAACTTCTGCTATGTACTGCTTCTTGTCTTTCAAGATGTAATGGGTGGTAGCTATGGATAGAAAGACTGTGTTTTTACTAATGTACTGTGCACATTCCAGGGACTCGGGTTCACTACTGCCAAGACTGGTGTGTTTGCTGTGTTTGATTTTAAGTTGCATGGTCCGGGGAGGCGGGGGGGGGGGGGAGGGCACTGAAGTCAGATGGCAATTGTTATCACTTTCTGAGTTTGAAGTCGGGTGTCATTTTGTGCAGTGTGAAGGTGTTTGGCAGGCTTTTTTTTTTTTTTTTTTTTTTTTTTGGACCAGGGAAATCATCTTACTTTCTGCATTTGTGTTCTCACTGTAGGGTAATCATGCTGTGTTATCACACTATCTTAGGTTTGCCCAAAGGACCAGCCAAAACCTCGCTTCAAGTCACACATATGATAATGTGAGTAACAATACCCTTTTGCTAGCAGTTCACCTAGTCGGCAGGTAATCATGACCAAAAGCATTGCACACCTTTTGTTTTTTGTTTGCTTGTTTGTTTGTTTTTCAAGACAGGGTTTCTCTGTGTTGCTTTGGAGCCTGTCCTGGAACTCCCTCTGTAGACCAGGCTGGCTTAGAACTTACAGAGATTGGCCTACCTCTGACTCCCGAGTGCTGGGACTAAAGGTGTGTGCCGCCAATGCCCGGCTAGCATATACAGTGGGTGGATACATCCATTGTTGACCACTTCATTTTTTGAGACAAATAAATTTTATTTTACTTTTCTTAAGAAGGTTAAAGATCATGATGTCATTACTTCTGGGCTTGGAATACAGCTCAGTGGTACAGCATCTGTCTAGTAAGCACAAGCCTTAAATTTGATCCCCAGCGTTGTAAGAAAAAAAAAAAGTTATAGTTCCTTTAACATGGTTATTATTTATGTTTGGAAAATTTCAGAGTTGTTCATCTCTCTCTACACCCTTGTGAAGGTCATTGTGTTTTGTGTAAATAAACTGCCCTTCAGTTCTCATCCCAGCCTTAACAGTTAGTTATTCGCTCTTTTATTTACATGGGACTCACACACTCGGGCCCCCCTCTTCTGTCCTGGTATTTCAGTAGTGGAGACCCCAAGCCCAGACTTCCCTTTAGAATCGTTTGTTTCTCCTTCTTTCTCCTTTGAGGCAGGTCTCACTGGCCATGAACTCCTCTGCCTCTACCCTTTACCTCCTAAGTAAAAGGATAGACTACCATGCCTAGCTTTGGTTGCTGCTTTAAAATAACCAAGATTCAACAATCAACAAACTTTTATCTCCAGCCTAGGACCCCGCTCCCAGAACTCAGAATTCTATCAATTTTGCATCCACTCTCACCCTTTTCTTCCCAGTTCCCGGTGCCAGCCCTTCTAGCAGACTCTGTACCTCATTACACGGTCCATGCACTTTATCAGGTGCTTACGTGGCAAGCCTTGGTAAATACCACGACCTCACCAGTTTACCTTGTTTTGAAAATATGTTCGCTGTCCCACACACCTCACCTCTCCACTTCCCCACCCCAATTTAAGTGATCGTGCAATGGATACTGTTAATAACCTCTCTGAGCTTGTTTTGGTTAAGCTTTTGCCTGCCAAGGCTTCTCTCCCACCACATCCCACGTCATGATGTACTCTGAAAACCCAAACCAGAACAGTATCCCTCAGTCATGCCACTCATCTGCCCCAAAGCCACCTACTTGTCTTCCTCACTGGAACGCTTCCTGTACCTCTCCCGCCTCACCCTTAATCTCTCTTGGCTCACTATGCTTCAACCATAGTAACTTCCCTGACTGCAGAACCTAGAAACTCATGCTCTCCGGTATTAATCAGTCAGCGCTCTGCCAGGACCCCAGTGGTGAGGCACTCCCTGTGACCAGGCTGTGAGAGCAGAATCCCACTGTATCTCGGCCTCTCGTCTCTCTTTCACCATAGAATAGGCCACTGGACACTGATTTCCACTTCTTGTCTGATATAGCAGGTGCTTGGACTATTCTATTTCTTGTCGTAGTAGTGCCTTGCAGCTAGTAAGTGACACACTTGTATGATGGAGTAAATTACAAAATGTGTTTTTGAGTTTTGAAAAAGGGCCTTGCTATGTAGTTGGGGCTACACCCAAATTCACCATTTTTCTGTCTCAGCCTCTCAAGTTCTATGTTTATTTGGGTATGCTACTAGCTAACCCTGGATGAAGAAGAGCTACTTCTTCATTAGTCTTGATTTGATAGCATTACTGCATGCCTATTTGTAAACTGAATTTCATTCCTGTTCAAGGCTGAGATTTCATATTTGGGGTGAAACAGAAGCTAGACTGAGCCACGCAATTCCAGTTCTTCCTTAAAAGCAGTACTTTTAAATACATTTTACATTTTATGTGGGAAATGGAATGTAATGAACACGAAACCATGCAGACAATTTTATAAGTACTTATTACTTTAAAGTGAAAGCAGTAAAAACGACTACTTCTCACCCAATTGAATGTGTATGGCTCTTGGAGCAGTGCCATTAGGAAGACTGGAAATCTAAGTAACAAAAAATGCTTAATGTAGAATGTATGCCTGAACATGTGTTATGCTTTCTTCAGTTTCTCGAACAGTCCAGTTCAGTATTACTACAGCCAGTTAGCCTACAGACTGCCTCAGCAGCTTCATCGAGCCAGCGGCAGCCAACCTTGCCCAGCAATCATCCAGGTACACAAGACTCTATATGTTGCAACAAATAAGCCAATTTGTGAGAATGCTGGAATCTGCCTAAGATTATTAACTAAAAATAGAGGAGAAATGCGGAGAATTCATTGTGCTTTGAAGCCACATGTAATAAACTCAGGGCTGACACCATTATAATACACATTTACAGATTATAAAAATAATTGTGCTGAACTGAATGTTATATCTGGTTCACACTAAAATCAATGAAATTTTAGTTGAGGTTTGGAATTTTTTAAGTACAGACTCATGAAACTTAGTAGCATCTGAACCTTTTTGGCTGTATTTGTTAGATTCATATATTTACATTCTGAATATATCAGACTATTAATTGTGCATGTCGTTTTTTTTTTTTTTCCCCCTTCACGCACCTGAAGTGATAACAAACAGTGATCTCCAGCCACCCAATTACTACGAGGTAATGGAGTTTGATCCCTTAGCTCCTGCTACAGAGTAAGTCATTTATAAACTTATTAATTTATGCTTGGTTACAGTTCCCTTAGATGACAGAGCTAACTGAGCTTAGCCATTCACTTAACTTTGTTTAGCTCTTGGCAGAAATTTATGGCCTTATTAAAAATGATATATGAGGTTTTATAGTGGCCATTGCTCTTAATGGCCTTACTGCTCTCAGCCCATGACTGAAAAATAAAAATGCTAGGGTCACACTTTAAGAAGTAACTGGAACCAACAGTCAGCATAGATTGGTGGCTAGTATCTCTCTAGCTAGAGGACACTATCCTTTGCTGGCATATTAATGCCACATTTTAAAACTGCTCTCCCCCCCCCCCGAACTGAATCAAAAGGCATGGTAAAAAGAACTTCTTGTGTTCAACATGGCAAAAGATACCCTTAAAAGTGACCACTGATGCTAAAATTGTTTTACAGCCAGGTATACTTTCAGCATGTGGGAGACAGAGGTAGGAAGATCACAAGTGAGGCCAGCGTAGGAGACAAAGCAAGATCTTGTCCAAAAGGAAAGTAAAAATGCTTTTAACTTGAAATTCCTAAGGTACTTAATGATTTCCTGTTTGCCAGGTTGTATATGGGATGGTAAACACATTGTAGGGTTATTATTTTATGTTTGTCTGTATGTATGTCTGTGCACCACACGTGTACCTGTACTTGCAGAGTCAAAAAGAGGGTGTCAGATCTCCTGGAACTATTGTTACAGACCATTGTAAACTTCTGCATGGTGCTGGGAATTGAAACTGGCAGCCTGGAGTCTGTAGCTGGTCCCCAGCTGTATTTTGTCCTGTGTAGAATTTAAAATGTACCGTCTAAAAATCAATTGCCAATAGTTAAAAACTAGTATGTCCATATAGTACTTCTCAAGATTTGGGATACTGTAGAAGTTCACCATGTACCCATGACTGCCAATTGGAGCAGGTTTTCTTGGACCACCAGTGACCCAATCAGGACATGGAGACTGATTACTAGTTATGAATGTTCAGCCTTAGGCTTATTCACTAGCTCTTAAAACCTATTTTCCCTCATCTATGTCTTTGCCTTGATGCATTTTACTTTTGTTTTCAGCTAGTGTCCTGGCACATGTAAGCATCAATATATTGTCCCTTATTTATGCCGTTAGAGTAGGCAGTCATTTTGGCATCATTTATTACCAAACAGGAGACTTTCTGCCCTGACCTGAGTGCTGGGATTATAGGCATGTACCACCACACCCACCTGCTAGACACTTTTCCTAACTCAGGATGATGGAATTTCCCTCAGCCAAGTGAGATAAAGTAGATATCATTGGACATATGTAGTTATGTAGTTAAAGACTCTGGTTCTTAAATTCCGTGTCCATATATGTCAGGTTCCTGAGCATACTTAGATTAACTAACTGCTCTAAGTAGTTATGTTGTGTCCTTGGTACCATAGGTGAGATGGTCAGTCAGGGAGCTGAAGAAGGAACTTTATCACTGTGGTTTTTGCGTTCTGAAGACTTAGAGCCTCAGTTCTGTCGCAGGTCTCATGAAATCCAGTAACTCCTAAGGAAAAGCAGAGATTCTTGCAACTTCTGTAGTTTTCACATCACAGGTTGGCCAGAAATCCCATGCCAAAAATTTTCTTTTTGTCCCATATATATATATATGTATATATATATAATATATATATACATATATCTTCAGAATACACAATTCTCTTGATTATTTCATGTATACTCAAGGAAGTTACTGTTACATAATTTTGAACAAGACATGCTCTCTGGCAGGCAAATATGTGTGTCAATAGTATGAAAGGGTATAGTATCTAGAGTGTGTATGTTAGGAAGAACTAACATAAATGAAGGCTAGAGAGAACCACAGGAAGCAGCATTGTTAATTTTTGTCAAATCTACAAAATAACTTGAAATAGAAACCCAGTAGAAAGCTTTAGCAATTACAATGAACTGGAAATGCCAACAGGGACAATGAAGAAAGTAATAGGGAACCTAGTCCAAGGCATGGAAGTTTAACCTGCACTGGGCTATGATAAACACTCCCCAGAGTATAACCAGATCAAGAACAGAAAATCAGATGCTGGATTCAATTACATGGAAATAGGGTTTATTAAAAGCTAATTTAGTGAATTGGGGACAGAAGCTACATTTCAATGTTAAAGATTAAGAGTGAAAATACATATAAATAACTTAGAAGAACTTAAGTATAAAGAGTGGGCATGGCTTGGGAACTAGAAGATTATTGAGGTAGTTTCTTGTAGCTATGTGATGAAAGACTACCCTGGTATAAACTGGAGTTACTGGGGAGAACCTAGCATAGAGGGAGAAGTTGAAGATTCAAAAAAGAGGGCACTTACTGAAGAGGTGTTTGGGAAGATAGGTTGATAGGATCATGGAAATAAAGGGCAACATATATGAAAATAAATTGGAGGGATTGAGAAAGGACAGGGAAGTTCCCACATCAAGATGGGAAACTTAATAAGACATGAAGTTTCTTCCTGAGAGATATTGAGTTCAGTGGTTTAAAGAGGGTAAAAGGTAAAATTACTCCATGGAAAGTAAATCTTGAATTTTTAGAAACATAGTAAAATTTATGGAGTTGGTCTCTTTGGTTTGTTTCATAGTGCTGTTAGTTTGGGAGGTTTCTCCTAGCTGTGTTTTGCTATATTCTATGTATGAATGCCACCTTTGGGTACAGATATTTTTGAGCTATAAAAATACATATAAAAACTGAGCAAATTATTAAAATTATAATTTATTAAAGGTACAAAGATAGGTAACACAAGCTAAAGGTTTCTCCAAAGTCTAGGATATAACACAATGTTAAATAAAGCACACTATTAATTTTTTTGATTAATTTATTTTTATGTGCATTGATGTTCTGTCTGCATGTATGTCTATGTGAGAGTATGAGATATCCTGGAACTTGAGTTACAGACAGTTGTGGGCTGCCATGTGGGTGCTGGGAATTCAGGGTTTAAACTTAATTTTTTAAGTTTAAAAAAAAAAAAAAAAAAAAAAAAAAAACTGCCCAAATTTGAACCATAGTTTTCCTTTAAACCAAAAGTAAAAATAAATAGGCATTGGGAAAGAACTCTAACAGCAGATGTTTTATGTTAGAATAAGCAAGCATAAAGATCTTTCTTTTTATTCACTTAAGGTGCCTGACACCCCCCCCCACTCCCAACAGCCTATTATTTTTACTTTTGATGGTGTTAATACAGTACTTTGAAACCGATGTGTAATTTGTCTACCTTGGTGGCTTTGTTTCAGAGCTGTTTATGAAGAAATTGATGCTTACCACCAGAAAGGAGCTCAAAGTCATAGTGACTGCTAAGGTAAAAAACAAATAAACAAAACATACTAGCTTATGCACCATAGATTCCACATAATTCAGTGGGATTATCACATTTTGTATTAAATTCCCTAAGTACCATTTAAGTCTGACACTTATTTCAGTACAATACTAAGTTCCTCTGAACTTCTCAAACTCATCAGTGCACATTAATAATGATCTCCATGACCTTATCTGAAAAGTTGCTTTCTGTGTGCAGCCCATACCTGTTAGATGGACCAACAGAGCCCATCAACAGAGCTCCTGCACCAGTTATCCTATTTACTCACTGCTGAAGGCCTGTTCTCCACTCACTGCTCACTTTTGATCCCTTCACATTCCCAACTATGGAAGAAGTACATTCCAACCTTCCCTCTGCTTAACTGTGTGGCTTTCCAGTCTTTCAGGAGTGCAGGGCCAATGTCTTCCCTTTATTTCAGATGTCTGATCAGCTCCTTAGCAACACAAAGGGCCAACTCTCTGTAGTCCCTGCTCAACTGAGGCCTAAAGACCTGCTAATAGGAAAAGAAAGCCACAGTGGACCACTCTTCTGCTGTAAGGAAGCTTCAACAGAATGATAACATTTCCCAGCTAACACTGCTATTCCTGACAATGGCTCAGGATTTCAGGAGAAGCTGGCTATAACAACTACAACTTCAGATAAGGAAAACTGCCTGATACTAGGCCAACTGGCTAAATTGTAGATTTGTATGCTGAGCAGGCGTTCCTACCAGTAGAAATCATCACAGACCTATAAGGGTACTTGAAGATCATCCTGCTACAACATTGTGAATAGATGGGGCAGGAAGTGAAGACAGTGAGTGCCTTCATTTAACTGAATTTGAATGTAGAAGTCAGTTTGCACTTGTTTATAAATAACACTTTGGTTTAAACTTGATGACTTGTTTAATTAAAATTCAAGTGCCTGAGCAGGCCACTGCATCAGGTGGCCTTTATAATGTTGAACATTCTTGCCTTTTATTATAAATTACATTTTGATTTGAAACAAAAGCTACTGGAAAACACTTAAAATTAAATTACTATTATTTGTCAGAGTTGTGTTGTTTTTGTTTTATTTATTTATGTTTTTTTTACCTCAAACAGCTTTTATGTCACTAAGTTTTCACAATTTCATTTTACCCTTACATCATACATCAATGAACTTGGAATTATGACAATAAATGCTGGCATAGACTAGCAGGTGAAATTCTTCTGTCAGATCATTATACCATCATTTCCAAGTCACTGTCTATTCAGTACTCTAAACAAGATAGACCTCAAACTTAACAGGAAAAGCCACACTTGAATTAAATGCAAACTTGGAGCAGGCTATTAGAGCTGAGTTTTTAAAACTGTCAGCTCAGCCAAAGACAGCTCAGCAGGCAAAGGCATTTGCTACCTTATCTGACCACCTTGATTCCTGAGCCCACATGATGAGAGGAAACTGTCTCCTACAGCATGTGCACTGTCCACCAGCACATGTGTGCTGCAGCATGGATGTCACTCACCTTCCCTACATACTCACAAAATAAATAAACAATTTTTAATAGTGTCAGTTTATACTCAAGGAATAGCAGCCACCTTGTTTGGTGATAAGTTCTATGATCTAAAACAAGCCACCTGCACATACTTTCTTTTTCTAAGTTTTCAGATACATTGTTCAAAGCATGAAGGACTGATACTTTAGAAGGCACCTATAGAATTAAACTGGACTACTAAAGCAGTTTATGTGTGTATGCGTGTGGGTAGCCACAGCATGCATATAAAGGCAAGGAGATTCTACTGACTCAACCTCCCAGCTCACTGTAAGGACTCTGGGATTACAGATGTGAACTACTGCATTCACTTTAATGCTGGTTCCAGGAACCAGAACTCAAGTTGTCAGGCCTATGGGGCAAGCAATTTAATCCACTGAGTCATCTCCCTGGCCCCTTAGGCAGTTTTTAATAGTCACACATGTGGGACATAAGACAGTCAAATATTCTTCATAGGCTTGGTGAATAACATTCCTCCTCTATTACTTAACACAGAGCAATGTCCATTTCCTGCCCTTAAATATCATCACAAAACAGCAGCATCTTTTCATTACGGACTGAGTTTGGAACCTATCCTCTCAGTCTTAAATGGGATAGATGAAGTTGGGAAGAAAGACACAGAACCATTTAAAATGCAAGGTTTCACTATACATTACTGTAGAATATTTCTCTTCTGAGAAAGCACAATACATGATTTTCCAAAAATCACAAATCTGAAGCAGGTCTTGGAAGCTACTTCAATTATAGCCTGGAACTGGCAACTTGTGCCCTTCCTTTGCTTCAAAAAAAGTATAAGAAAGAGTGATGAGATCAACATTCACCATCCTTGGATCTTCTGCAAATTCAGGATCAATGTAGAAAAACACTGGCATATCTACTTCTTCTTGTGGATTAAGCCTTTGTTCTTCAAAACAGAAGCACTACAAATTATAGACAGATACTTGGTTAGGAACACTCCTATTATTTAAAACAAAGCAATATTCATTCTGCCCTTAAACACCATCATAGGACAGCATCATCTTTTCAGCACAGACTGAGTTTTGTTTTAAGGATTAGGAAACAATTTAATTCTAATCTTAGAAGCAAATATGGTAGCCAGGTGTAGTAGTGCAGCCCTCTGATTGCACCACTTGGAAGGCAGAGGCAGGTGGGTCTTTGGTCAAAGTAAGTCTGGTCTACAGAGCTCGAGGATAGCTAGGATAGATACATAGACTCTGCCTCAAAACAAATAAAAGATTTGCTTTCACTCCCCCTCCAGCCAGATGGTCTAAGCAATGAAGATTACAAAAAAAGAAAGAAAAGACATTATTTTTAGAACAAGTATTGACCGAGACCTTTATTTATTTATTTTCCCTGAAACAGTGTCTCATTAGCCTAGAACTCATTACATATCCATATCCTGGTGGCCTCTACCTTATGGCTCTGCTCTCATCTCACCCTACTGTGACCTAGGATTATAGGTGTGAATCACAACACTGGCCAGTGTGTGAATTTTTAAAAATTAAAAGCATTTAATTCATATTAAGCAGTTTCACATACTTTTAACATAAAAGTTAACATTCATTTTACCTGTATTTTATTGAAATACTGTCCAGCTTCAAATGGTACAACATTATATGTAGAAATTCCAATTACTGGTTTGTCAGTAGGATTCTTAGCTTTATAAAAAGCCAGTGCAGTTTCTCCTGGTACCACCTGTTTTAATAAACACATTTATATATGATGCTATTCTTTCCTCCTGCTAAATGAAGTCATATTATTTTCTTGTTCATTCCTATACTAGCTAACCTAATGTATTGTGAATAATGCCACAGCTTATCTTAATTTCAGACTGCATTTGCTTTTGTCAATAAAGAATGAGTTATGAATGTTCCAGTTGGATGTCTGACATCTTCAAGCAAAGTCTACAAATCAGTTAAAATGTGTCCAAGGACAAGCCAGTAAAACCATAGCTCAAGCCCAACTACTTTATGACAGTTAAATCTGAATGTCATGATTAGCAAATTTGTAAAAGGTTGCCAATGTTAAGCTTACCTCAATTTGAATAACTTAAATTTACAACCAGTGTGAAACTGACTAAATAAAATCTGTTAAACTAAAAAGAGTTAATATTTTGAGGAAAAAAAAAAAAAAAAAAACCAGCAACGAAGGCCACAAAGAATTTACATAGGACCTTCTGTCACCTGTACCAATTCCCCATTATCCTATTTACTGCCATGCAATTTGAACCACTATTCAAAATCATAACCTACAAAATCCTTAATTAAGATTAAGTAATGTTGGGCAAGCACTATGTTTAATAAGGGTTTGTTAATAATAACATTTGAAATTAAGACTTTTAAGGATAATCTGCAGTTAAAAAGCATTCACCTGAAATCTCTGCAGGACTGCAATTAGAAAAAATTTAGAAACATCTTGGATACAGTGATACTTGAGTATAACTGTTGTTACTATTGAAATAATTACTTCACATCTCTAAAATTTTTTTCTTAGTGGGGATGCTTAACTCAGCGTAGTGCACTTCCCCAGCACATAAAAGACCCTTGGCTCATACCCCAGTACTTTCAAAATTACATTTTTTTCTTTTGACATACAAAAGTACTTCTGATAAACCAGTAAATTACTTATTATGATTCCCCACATATTTTCTATTATCATCTATACCAGAGTAAAAGTCAGAAAGCTATATAACATAATCAGGCACTGCTAAGCTCAACATTAATGACTAATGATTTAGTCAACTTTTAATCACATGATTATAAACACTGTTTCAACTTGATTAAAAATTAAAATATAGCCAGCACCATACATAACACATCCATCCATATCTCTAATTCATTTTGATATTAATGCTATGGTTGAGTATTTTTAAGGGGATATCAATGTTAAACTAACCTTAAATCTATTTACAGTAAGTCTACAACCAGAGTAAACCTGACTGAATAAAACCTGTTTTAAACAAAGGTTAATACTCTGAGAAGTCAAGACTAAGAGCAGCAAGGCCAAGCTGAGAGGTAGGAGGATCACGAGTTTGAAGTCGGCTTGGGCTATACAGTGAGACTATCTCGAGAACCCCAAATGTTATAGTTCCATTTAAATGTAAGGTACTATCAAAGAGTAAACGTTTCAAAACACTAACATACCCCTTGAATAATTCCATTTCGTGATTTATGGAAATGACTTTAGATGGGTGTAATACGTTAGCACAGATGGGTTGATAGATGAGCCCATGAGTCACTCACATATATCTCCGTTTGCTGAGGTCTGAAGTTCCACTGGAGACTGGCGTGCACATCGGCATTGAATGTAACCTTAATGATTCGATCCTTAACAGGCACCATGTTTTCAATCTGGTCTGAGGAGTGTCCGGCCACTGCTGATCCTCCCAGTCCAGTAGTCTAGAACAAGACACTGGATATGTTAGTTAAGCAACAGTTTTTAGATTTTCATTTATTTCCTGGCTAAAAGTAGATCTAAAAAACAATGTTCCAATGTGAGCCAAACAGTACACCACCCCTGACCATTGGCTTGCCTGTACATGTTGAAGTGATTCCTATTTCTTTTCAGCAATGAGTGATTTTAAAAAACACATTTTGAAACTTTTATTAACTAGTTCCCTTCATAGTTCCCTTCATAGTAGTGTATTTTACATACATGATTATTCACTTAAGAAAAGTTAACCAAACCTTGTCAATTAAAACACAAAAGTGTCCATGTTTCTGCTTATCTTATTCTGTTGTATAGCTTTTACAGGTGAAATCAGTTCATAGATTTATTTTTATACTCTGCTTTCCCAGGGCATCATGACTATTTCCCCATGTGGGTGGGTCAATCATTTTCTCACACTTCTCTGTAATTCTCTGCATACACACAGATCTTTTACCCTTCATCTGTTCACAAATACCTGACCTTTTTTTTTTTTTTTTTTACTTTTTATTTTTGGTTACCCATTCAACTACCAAAAACTATTAGTTATTTTTGTCTGACATTTCTTCATTGCTATTATTGCCTTATCAGATGTGGGGGTGATGCTACTTCCAAGATATTCTTCTGCTACTTGAGGTTAACAGAAGTCTGATTTCCACATAATTTACCTTTCCCATACTACAAAACAAAAAAGCCAAACGTGGGGCTAATGGAAGACTCTAAAAAACTACTCTATCAATATTTTTCTTTCTCTCATTACACAAGTTACTTAGCTTCATTCAATTTCCCTCGACATTGTCAAGTTACACTTTCATCCTAACAGGTAAATCGTAGGGCAAGCATCTGACCTTATTTTAGCAGGTCGGATAAATAAAAAGCAACTTAAGTGTTCTCCTTCAATATGAACCCCTTATATATTCTTGGGACATATGTTATTAAAGTTTCTAAAGTTTGATGCTTAAACTAAACTAGACAAAGCAGGTGGAAAACAGTCATTAAAATGACACCCTGGGCTACTTCCAACCGAGGCAATAACAGGTTAACTGGGTTACATTTCAATTTGCTCATAAAAAGGGACCTTTGCATTCCATGCCTTCCTAGACTTACTTATTTCTTGCCACAAAACTTGGTGATTCCACAGTAGCAGGGCGTTCTTCTGGGCATACCAGTGCTAAACATGGAACTTGATTTTAAAGTTACTTTTTTTCTTAAATCTACGGTTAGCTTAGCCTAGCCCGACGTAAGCGTGTGGACACAACACACGCATTCCATCGACCATTCCATCGATCTCTGTACCACCAGCACGGCAGGGTGCACAATCCTTTACTTGGAGGGGCGGGCTCCTCCACTCACTAAGTGCCCGGGAGAACCCTGTCCCTGGGCTTCACTGAATGGCAGTGACCTCCTCCCCTCTGAGCCCCATCATTGCCGAACTGGCCTTGCTCGGGCCGGTTTCCGTGCTGACCTTGTCCCGATCGGGAACCCGACAGGTAACCTCGGTCCCCCATCCGGAGGCCCCGCAGGGTGCTGGCGCCCAGGGCATCCATCCATCCTGCACCTCGCCCTTCCCTACCTGGCAGTAGAGCCGATAGAGGGGCACGGCGGCGTAGGAGGCCCCCAGCATGCCCACGGCGGCCGCGGCCACGTAGGTGAGCACAGTCTTGTTCCGCCGCCGCCACTCGTCCTCCTGCGCGCGCTGGAAAGGGTTGCTGCTCCCCGGCCGCCGGGGCGGCTGCGCGGCGGGACCCCGGGCCCCGCTCAGGCGCTTCCATGTCCCGAGCCGCCTCAGTCCCCGCTCCGCACCGCCGAGCCCACTCCAGCCGGGCCTGAGAACCTGCTCCGCATCCTTCACCGTCCGGCCCCACCACCGAGCCTGGCTCCAGCAGCGGCCACACAAAGCGACCGACCTCCGTCCCTGACACCAAAACCCTCCCATAACCCCCGGAACGAACCCCCGCCTGGCAGGGCGGCTAAGCGAAGCCTCGCGAGACCTCGCGTGTCTCGCGGTACCAGGGTTGAGCCCCGCCGCTGCCTTGACTACCAGATTCCTCAGGTAGCAGCCTAGCTACGGAGGCCGGGTGGCCAGCACAGGGTAAGTTCGCGTTTTGCTTTTTTTTTTTTTTTTTCTTTTTTTGCTGGGTGCCTGTGCCTTGCATTTTGTTTCCCTCTAAAACTTCTTTCATTTACTTTGTGCAAAATGCACCTGGGCCCTCTGCATGCAAGCTCCTCTCTGGGGATAGTGCTATAACACTTACACCCATCTTTCCGAACTCCACCAGCCTTTGTCTTGACCCAGAGGCCCCCAGCGGCAGCTCTCCCGCGGGGCTTCCATTTGGGGTTCATTAGCCCCCATTGCTTACTGCCTCCGACTAACTTCCCTCTTTCAGGAATAATTACTGTACACACCGCATCCCTCTCAGCATTCGACTTCTGCATCTTCTCAGTCCACGGCAGAAGTTTTCCACTGCGCTGATAACCTCTTTGCTATTTACCCAGCAAAAAGCATCAAGGCAGAGAGCTGCTCGCAAGCTGCAGTTTATTCAGAACAGAAGGACCAAGATAATAGGGCCTTTAAAGGAGGGGCTAAAAAGAATAAGGATATACATCTATGAGTAGTACAGGCAGAGGCCCCCGGGATTTATACAAATAGATTTCTTCGGTTTTCTAATAGAATAAACAAAGACCATTATTAAATAGCAGCCAAGAGCAGATTCTGAAGTTAAGCACTGATGACTTTACTAAGGGCTTGTCCTTGCATTTATTTTATTTTATTATAACTTCTCTGTTACCTGCTGACCTTATTTCGTGACTGGAAGTCACAGTAGTTCATGAGGATAAGCACATAAAGTGATTTTCCCACTGCTTCAGGCATAGTAAGAATTTCGTAAAAGTTAGGTCTAATTCCGAGTGGCTACAGTGGGTCTAATTATCCGCACTTTGTGGGTTAGAACCCTGAAGGCCTGAGGAACTGTAAGTCAGTCAACATTTATTCCTTGCACTTTTTAATTGCCTGAAGCATCATCCAAAAATAACCAGGCACAGTCTCCTTTGTTATTGATTGCCCTGTCTACTGAAGGACTCAGAAAATAAACCTGTAAGCAAGGGAATTTCAGGCAACAGTGGCTACTGTCAAGATAGCTGGTGGCGTGAAGTAATGGAGAGTGACAATGAGGGCTACTGAAATTTTATGTCTCCCTGTAAGAGGTAAAATAAGGTCTTCCTAGAGGTGACAGTTGAGCCTATTCCTGAACCTTGAAAAAAGAGCTCCACACCAAACAACAGTTTCAGGTCATACACAAATGCAGAGGCAGGAATGGGCTGGGCAGGATTCAAAAACAAAACAAAACAAGAACACAGGGTCCCTGTGAACCTTGCATAATGAGCAGAGCTGACAGTGGAAAGAAAGAGGTCACAGCAGGTACGCAAAGACCTGAAAGAGCCATTTAAACCATGGCCGAGAAAGCTGACTGTTAGGAACACGGGAGTGATTCGATCTGAGTTTATTCACACGGAAGGGAGAAAAAGATCTTAGTCAAGTGGTGATGATGAAGGGGGTAAGGGTGGAAGTCAATGTGAGGAGGCGGCTGTCCTAGCAATCTAAGAGGGGATGGAGACCTTGGATATCAAGTAACTGATTAGTGGCCACGGATCTGGGAAATTGTGGTGCCCATAAAATCTAAGACAATGTGCACTCTGGCACATTGTCACACAAGCTACAAAACTCACTACAAATTTGCTTCGGTTTTGTTATGGCAGTGTTGGATCACCCTTTCCCTCTGTGTGCAACTTGATTCTTACAACAGATTGTCAGATTGTCAGGATAAAAAATCTCTCATTTTCATTTTCTTACAACATGGACTCCAATCCCATACTAGGGGGCTGGAGATATGGCTGGGAGGTTAAGAGCATTTGCTGTTCTTGTAGAGGACCTGGGAACTGAACCTGGGGACTCAGAGCTTTGACTACAGCGCCAGAGGCCCTGATACCCTTTTCTAGTTTCTTCAGGTGCTTCACACACATGTGTGCAGACAATATACTTATACTTTTTTTAAAAAATCCTATGTTAACATTAATGTGCTTGAAGCTAACAGTATATGTCATTCAGCTCCCTCCCCCCCCAGATATTTTTTTCCTCCAGCAGCTGTATAAATATGTCAGTATTACAATTGTAATTATGAATGATTATTAATTGAATATGAATATCTGAGGTACAGTCATTTTGATCACAATAAAGTGATGTAGGTCTTTCTTTATTTCTCTTTTAATAAAGTAAAATAGATACCAATCCAGTCCCCATACGGTAATGTAAAATGGCAGTTCATGTTTATAAAAATGTTTCTGGATGATAATTAAAATGTTTCAATCTCCGATTTTTACTTGGAAATAATTTTAAAAGTTACATAATCGTTGTAGACATGATAAATTCCCCACTTGTTCTTCACCTCCTGTGTTCAAATTAGGCCTAATTTAGCTCGCTTCCTGTTGCTTGTGGGATCAAGATGTAGCTCCTTCTCCAGCGCCATGTCTGCCTGCATGTTGCCATGTCCCACCATGATAGTAATAGACTAAACCTCTGAAACTGTAAGCCACCCAGTGAAATGTTTACCTTCATAGAACTTGTTCTGGTCATGGTGTCTCTTTACAACAGTAGAAACTAAGACACCAGTTGTCCCGTTATTTCCAATTTGGGTTTATAATCCAATAATCCAAGATGGACCCTTGTTTTTAGCTGTTCTGCTTCTTTAGTTTTCACCAGTCTGAAATAGTTCTTTAGCCTTTCCACATGGTCTTGACATCTTTTTAATAGTACCGATTGGTTAGTTACTATGGTGTCTCTCGGTATGCGTTTCTCTGATTTCTGTGTGTATGATTTCTCATGGTTTGTGAGCCTCTAATGGAAACAGACGTAAGGTGCTTGTCTCTTTGAATTTCTTAAGGAGTCATATAATATCAACTTGCTTCATGACTGAAGTTTTTATCTCTTTACTAAGATGGAATGTCTTAATTAGGGTTTCTATTTCTGTGAAAAAACACCATGGCCAAAAAGTAAATTGGGGAGGAAAGGGTTTTTTTTTGGGGGGGGCTTGCATTTCAACATTGCTGTTCATCATTGAAGAAAGTCAGAACAGTAACTAAAATAGGGCAAGACTTCAGAGGTAAGAGCTGATGCAGAGGACATGGAGGGGAGCTGCTTACTGGCTTGCTTCGCCTGGCTTGCTCAGCCTGATTTCTTATAGCACCCTGTCCACCAGCCCAAGAATGGCACCACTCACCATGGGCTGGGCCCTTCCCAACTGATCACTAATTGAGAAAATGCTTTACAGCTGGGTCTCATGGAGGCATTTCCTCAACTGAGGCTCCTTCCTCTCTGATAACTACCTTGTGTCAGTTTGATACGCAAAACCAGCCAGTACATGTATCTTCAATATTTTTGTTGTTTTTATTTTTGTTTTGAGGCAGTCTCCCAGAGACCCCAGGCTGACCTCAAATTAACAATCCTATATCAGCTGTCAGCACTGCTATTACAGATGTATACCGCCATACCTGGCCAAGTTTCTTTATTACAAGGGTCTTAAAAATAATGTTATACTCATTAAGAAGAAACTAGTGTGTTTTGTGGGGAGAAGCTGTTGGGACTATCTGCAAGGAAGAGTGTTAGTCCTTTGCATAGTTTTGATTCTGTGTTTCTATCAATGCAGACCCAAGAATTCCTATTCTAAGTAAGGGTAAATTTTACTGTTGTCCTGTTCCTCTTCCCTCTTTCCTACCCTAACCTTGGCACTTGCCATTACTGCAGGGGTTTGGATTCCTATAGTAGAGAGTAGTATTTAGAAATAATACTGGGAACCAGAAGTAGTCATTATTTCTAGACATTCTCAGCACAGAACCAGACAATTTGAATGTATAGAGTTCTAGTTGTGTCTATGTGCCCAACATGAGGAATAAGCTACTATTATTTTTAATAAATATACTTAAGTATTTGTTCCCCCAAGTACATATGCTGATCACCATGGTTGAGACCTTGGCCATGGCCATGTGAGCTCACTTCTGCCTGGTATGTCAACCCAAAGACTATGCTCCATTTGGGGCACCATCTAAAAGCTCAGCAAGCAAAAGAGAAGAGGGCAGAGTCAAAAGAAAATGACTGTAGTTAGCACCAGGCAGGTTTGAAGACCTGGACTAAGGAAGTAAGGCCACAGAGGAAAAGTCCAATTCTGGAAACACAGTTCTTTCCTTACTCTCTCCTAAATTCATTGCTCATTGAGAGCAATCATCCTACTCTATAGATAAAGAAAAGCACAGACTGAAAGCATTGACGTAACTGTAACTTGTACAAGCCTAGTCAGCTGGGTAGTGTCAGACCTGAAGCTCAAGCTTAAAGTGTTTGTGACTCCTTGCTTCTTGGCATTTTTCCTTGATCTGTGTAGAAAGCAGTTTTGCAATGGACAATGATGCCAACAAAACAACCATTTCCTTGTCTTTATCAGGAAAAGTTTCTCCTGCTTTGATTAAAATCATGAATGTGATAAGTTGTCTGTTTATAAGGTAGCACATTTTAAAATGATTTTTGAGGGAGAACAAACTGGAATTAAACATAAGAGTCAAGTCAGAAAGTAGTGTGGAGGCCTGAGGACAAGGACCTTACAATACAAGATTAACATTTGCAGTTAGAAGAATACATTTCAGAAAAAGCTGAAATGTATTTGTTTTCCTCTAAAGCTTCAAATGAATGCTTAACCCTAGGCTATAATTTGGTGAGTCTGAGTGTGTTTGTGATGTTGCATAAATCCCTGTGGTAACTAATGCTGAGTAGTGTTCCACTGTGAATGGAATGTGATCCTTGGGGCTAGTCTAACCCTGTTCAGCAACTGGAAGTAAGATTACACATTTAAAATGCAAAGCCTGGACTGGCACTGCAGATTGACACTTAATGTTCATTATCATTTTTCAGCAGA